ATGTAAGCCTTTTGGCTGAACTGGGCCTTGCCCTTCATTACCGATCGACTCGAGCCAGAAACGGATTCGGTCGGGCGATTTGGTGACCTTGGGTGACTGTTTGGTATACTCGAGTATTACCTTGAAATCTGGTGGAGTCCGGCCAACGTCTGGAAGGGGGTGGAATGAAATGAATGAACGAGTGGCAATGGAAATGAGGGGTTTTACTTATCAAAAATACATTTTCAAATGATTGGAGGAATAAGGAAATGAAAGGAGAATGAATGAATGAATGAATGACTTCTCGTGAGCACGTATCCTTTTAATGAATGTGTTATTATCGCTTTATATTGTAAATGTTTCTTGAATTATTGGTTATCTATGGTTAATGCATTGAGTTTATTGTTTGATTATGTGTTTGGAACCCCACTGAGTTTTTAGCTCATTTCGTTAGTTTTGTTTTCATTAACAGGGGATGCGAGCAAGGACGAGAGAGCTGTAGAGACTAGCGTAGTCTAGTTCTTTTGAATTTTTGTTTGTAATGGTTCTCGCGCTAGCACTTGGCAAGGGCTAGATGTATTAAGATTTGAGAACTTTTGTGTTTTGAGTTGTATTCCTTTTGAGATAGTAATGTATATAAGTTTACGTTTTAAGTTTGGAATTGTTATTACGATTGTTCTTGTGGGTTTTATCTTTTTTTCTTGAAGTGACTGACTAAGTCCCGGCGAGAGCTGGGCAGGCGATCCGCCAAACCCTTTGGTTCGCCTTAGGGGGAGGTGGGGCTGTCACAGATTTGGCCTTGTTGATAGAGTTTTTGGCTTCAAAGAGGATCCATATCATGGATCCCTAGTGATCTGTATGTGGATCAGTTATAACCGGTACTAATTATCAGTTTGGTCTTCACACTGGAGTTTCTCTAGTAATGACTGACTAGATTTTGAGCCTGTCTTCGTTGAAAAAAATGCATGGAAACGTTGTTTTTTAGTTCCAATAAGCCTAATCCTACCCCGTTTGGGATACTACTTTAAGAAACTATATAGGGTGTCTAGGTCATTTTTAAAGGATTAGAAAACATTAGCCTAGTTTAGTTCTAACATTTTTTCATAGTTTATTCTTAAAAAATCAAGATCAAACGTGAGCGAATCAAGGAGCACACAACGAGAGGACTAGAGTGAGCAACTGAGAAGTTTCTTACTCTTTTTCTTATCTTTGTAGCAACTCTTTGGATTTGTTTTTAATTTTCCAATTATGCTGAACTAAACTAAATTTACTTCTAGGGTTCGGATTTTTATGAAGAAATTTGATTCATTTTTCTAGTTTAATTTCTTATCTTTTATAATTATATCTATCTTGATTTTAATTACGTGTTTGTGCTTGATCACGATAGACATGATTTTTGGGTTTGTATCAAATTGAGAAGCAAGATTCAGTCGTGCACTAGATAGATAAACATATTTAGGTTAATCACGAGTGTAAGTTGGGATTTATAAATGCACTTATATCACCAAAGTTCTTAAAGGATTTAATAAATACTTGCAAACTCAAGAGAGACGTAGGATTTAATTAGGCATACTTTAAATGTATCGAGAGATAATCTAAAATATAATTGTATGATGCATTCATGGTTTGTTAAGAAATTAACTAGATAATTGACTCAAATTCTGGATTAAAACTTGAAACCCTAAATTTGCATCTATTGTTTTCTCTATAGTACTTGACTTGACTTGATTATTACTTTATTGCTTAGTTAGTAATTACAACTCTTTGAATTTAAGTTTTATTATTTTTGTTAGAATAATTAGAGTAGAGAATTAAATTGTCCTTGTAGATTCTACCCTGAAATACTCCAAGTAATTTATCACTATGATTGACCATATGCGTTTGCATGGATTCGTCAATCAACTTCCTACAAGCCCATATTTAACCTAAGGTAAATTATAGTTTACCGCCATGTGGTATAGCTAATTTCCACATAACCCTCTCTAGATTTAGAAACTATGTATAATTTTCTTATAATTTGGATTAAAGTGTCAAAGTGACGAAAATGATCATCCATGATGGAACCTAAAAAAATGTTGAAATTACCCTTGTTTAAAAACTAAAATGACTGAAGTGACTAAAATATATAAACATAATATGTATAACACTCTAATCTAGTATGATTTTATATTTTACCATATAACTCTCTTATAGTTTAGTGTTTTACCATATAATCCCCTTATGATTTTCAATATATATATATAACCCCCTGTGGTTAATAAATAATTTTCAACTTTATATAGGGGTATTTTTGATATTTTAGTTGACTCTGTTATGGATTGCAAATTCCTTCATTTTGACACTTTAATTCAAGTCATGAAGGAGTTATGTATAGCTTTTGAAATCATAGAGGGATTATGTAAAAAAAAAAAAAAAAAAAAACTAAACCACATGTGGGTAAAGTATAATTTGCCCTTTAACCTATAGACAACTAAGGCATGCCTTATGAATGCCTCAGCCACCTGAAGTTTATGCTCCTAAAGAGCACTTTATTTTGAATTATCTTCTCTTGGAAGCGTTTTTCTTGTTTTAGGTGGAGTAACCTTTTAGTAGAAGAGATACTCGAGAAAGTGTTTAAAATGAATAAAGCCCAAAACAGAGAGTATAATGTGCTACTTGCAATCTGCTTTTGTTCTTGGGAGTGAGACGAATTTTACATGCACAAAACTAAGCTGGTGTCACATCAGGAACATGCTGCTGTGTCTGGGGATAGCGGGATCAAATTTGATTCAAGAAAATGCACGCACTACTTTGTACATGTGTTGCTAATGCTACTTATCCTTTCTGAATTAGTCCATGTTTTGTTGTGGTGTGGGAGAGGATATTCCCTGTTGGCGTTATTTCGAAGAGTAGTAGGGCAGCGTGAAGGGGAAATTTTCCAAAATCTCTATCTGGAATGGAAGAGACACCAAAATGGATTATGGATATTGGTCAATGATGCTTGGGCCTGATTTACACACTAGCAGCAATACTCTTTCTGTCCTACTTGGTGTTCCTTTTACTTGAATTTATCTGTGTTTGTTTGTGAGAAACATGGTTAGTAAAATACAGAATAATCGTAATATTAATTATTTTACATAAGTTTATCATAAATTTTTTTTAAAGTATGATAAAACAAATTCGACACCAAGATATGAGTAGAACGAAATAGTGCATATAAATGTGTATGTGAATAGTAAGAACAACTTCTCCTTCTCTTTCTTTTTTTAAGTACGAACAATTTCAACTTTAACTATTATCCTTGTGTATGAGACATAAAAGTGTTTTAAGTTTTCATTTCTTTTGGATTTTACATGCATAAACTTATCGAAGTTTTGTTATGTATCGTAACTATGTTCTTTATAACAGAAAAAAAAAAAAGGATATCATCCTTAACAAATTTTAAACATTTTCTCATAAATTGAAGTATTGCTTATGAAGCAAAACGTGAGACAAGTTTATCAGAAATATTATATAAATAGTTAGAAGTATGAGTATTTTTTAAAATAATTTTGAAATGTACAAAATACAATTTTATTTTCATTATAGATACAAACATGAAATATAGAGACTTAATTTGAGTTTTTTTTTTTAACCTAAAGATAAAGATCTTAAGTTCAAATCCCCCTTTCCCTTCCCACTTCTTAAATCCCACCCTTTTTGACTAAAAAATTTTTTAAAAGAAATAGAGACTCTTATTTAGCAATATAACCAGGCCAATGTACATTCTATTCTTGAGATCAATTCTTCTCATATTTCGGCTTAATAGTAGGCCAGATCCGATGATTAAATTCGGATGAAGTTGGCTCTACTTTTGTGGATGGAAAATTGGCAAAAAGCATATGTATCCAATAGTTCAATGCTAAATGCTTTGGGCCAGGTTTGATGACAAACGTTTAAAATCCGTCCGATTGCTGCTGAGTTCCCACATCAGTTGTGAACACCAAATTGGATCGGCCTAAAGGCTTTAGTGTCCTCCGGCGACACCCAATGAAAGTGGTATCATATAGAGAAGATTAGCAAGGCCCAGTCCCAGAATGGCGGGCACAAATGGAGAAATTGTTCAATTTTTTTGGGCTTTGTTGAATGTGTTTTTGTATCCCACATCGGAACTTTTATAAAAAAATATCTCCTTTAAGTGGTTATAAATATAGTGGAGTTAAGTGAGTTTAATTGTGCTAAGGGCACTAGCCCAAGTGCCATGTGCACCAGTCCAAGAGAGTTTTAGGAGGCCCGCGCCCCAGTCTGAGAGGAGTTTTGGTTTGACATTAAACCAAAAGAGCAAGTCATGAGCCTTTGGGTCATTAAGCATTTAGTGCTATTTAGGCTCTTTTGTGTTTTCAGTTTTAACTGCTTTTGGACCTAGGAATTATTTCTTAGGATTTTATACTCCCACTTTTGTACTCTCTTTCTGTTATAGTAAATCTGCTATCCCTTTGCCCGTGGACGTAGGTCAATTAGACCAAACCACGTAAATTCTTGTGTTTTTGTTTTACTTATTTCTGCTTTGTTATTTGTCTTTTGGGATTGCCAAAATCCTTTTGTCAATTTCCTGGGACCGGACCTAACAGGCTTTTCTATGCTGATTTGGGTCTAAATCTATTTCATCTACCCATAAAGATGACTGATAAATTGCTTTTAAAGTCAGTTTGGGAATTTTTTGCTTTTGCTGATTGGGATCCATGTCTATATGGGCTAATTATCTGTACGTTTGATACTTCAAAACTCATTGGTGTGAATTTTTTTCATTTGACTGACAATACTATTTTGGATAAATTTCCAAAAAAAAAAAAATACAAAGAACAATTGTTTATCTCGAATTATGCTGCAATAAAATGTTCTGAAGCATGACTTGGACAATTTTTAAATCGGCTCAATTTGGTTGTCAGATGCATTAAGGATACAATTTTATAGGTTTGGAACGAACTAGAAATCATATGCATAGTTGGCCTAGATTCTGGATTCACATGTAAACATGCCTCTGCTATTTTGAGGACGAATACCAGGATCTTTTCAATTTCTTGTGTGGGATGCGAAAGTCTCTGGTCCAACAAGTCTTTCAATTCTATGTCTCCAGTTGTTGTTGAAGACATCAGATGGGCAGCAAATTCACCAGGGTGCTTCCCCTTGATTATTTCCAATGTCAGGACCCCAAAGCTATAAACATCACATTTTTCAGTGAATCTCATTGTATAGGCAAGCTCTGCATGGAAAATCATGTTATCAGTGAAACCTATACACTTAATACCTGAAAATAAAGAGAAATTATAACCCTGTTAATTACCTGCTGCAACATATCCCAATGTGCCAGCAAGAGGAGTCCAATTGCATGAGCCCTTCTGCAGAAATTTAGCAGTACCAAAGTCTGAAACACGAGCCTCGTATTCTAAATCAAGCAAAACATTGTTGCTCGAAACTTCTTGCTGAACTATTGAAGGTGAACAATCATGATGCATGTAAGATAGCGTGTGAGCGACACCTTTGATGATGTTCACCCCGTTTTCCCAGTCTAGCTCCTTATTTTCTTCTTCTATGCTGAAGATTTTGGCCAAGCTACCTTGCTCAAGGTACTCGTAGACCAAAAAGGTGTGTTTGGAACTTGAGCAGAAGCCGTGGAGTTTCGCAATGTTTCTGTGCTCGATATTTGTCAAGCCTCTTATCTCATTCAAGAAACTGTTAAAGTACGCCTTCTCAGGCAACAGATGATGTTTCTGTACAGGATCTAAAAAGAAGTACGAGTGGTTTGTACACATTTCCATAACCAACTCTTCTGTTGCTTTTAATATTTCTTTGTATATTGCATGAATAAGTACGAGTGGTCCTAGAAGAGGGAGTGCAATTATGAGAACAAGATCAACCCTGTAACAATCCTTTACGTGCTTTCTAATTGATTGATGACTTTCACAAGCTTGTAAACCTGTATTATTGCCGCACAAACCCTACTTTCCTCTCAGTTGTTCTGTGGTGATATTTTTAAAGGCTCTAACACAAGGAAATGGACCTTCTAATGTAATTGAATGATATGTCAAAATGCAAAGAACCAGGCAGTTCAGCCATAGCTTCTGAAAGGAAACCTGAGGGGTTATCATGGGAAAGATAATTTCCAATATATCTCTAGACTCTGAAACTTCTGATCAAACTCAGGTGGTATTTCTCCGCTGATGTAATTATGACTCAGATCCAAGATAGAAAGGTGAGTTAACTCACCTAGCTGGGGTGGAATCATTTGACTTAGATTGTTGTTGCTCAAGTTCAAGTAAAACAATTGTTGGCAATCTTTTAAAATTTCTAGGATAGATTCACGCAAGATGTCTTCTGACAGGTTTAGATAAAGCAGATTTTTTACAAACCTAAATTCTTCAGGTATTTTAGCAGAGAAGCCAGCTTCATAACTTGCTTTGGAATTTCCCCAGTCAAGTCATTGGAAGAATGATCAAGACTATGAAGTTAAGACACGTTCTCTAGCTCTGAGAATTGTCTGCAAGCAAAAGTGCTTCCAAGTTTGGGCATCTGGCCCTTTTGCCAGAAAGTCTGCCGTAGAATTAATTGTTGCTAAGATCGATCAAATTCAAGTTTGGATGGATATCAGACATCTGTGACAGGTTCCTAGTTAGCGGGTTTCCATCAAATCCGACTCTGAATAAGCTTGAGCAGTTTTCAGGTTTAATAGGAATCGGAGTATGAGGCTGTTGTTGAGTGTTCCATTTTGGCGAAGATGTTTCGGTATATTACCAGAGAATTGATTTTTATCCATTTCCATCACAACCAACATTGTCAACTTGCCAATCTCCTCACGCAACGGAACCAGAAAGGTGGTTATCACAAATACTAATCAAGATAGGCATCACTTTCATGTAAATTCAATTACCTATCTTGTGAGTACACTATCTTGTATGCATTATAGATGATTGTGAAATACCAACCATCAACAGATCTAGCACTTTCCAGATGAACCACAAAACAAGCAACAAAATATTGAAACTTGACTTTCCTAAGGTAAATTAAACTAGTTGAGGAGAGCTTAATGTAATGATTAAAATTGAAACACAAGGCTTAAAAGTCTTGGATTCAAATCTCCTTTCTCCATCAAAAAAAAAAAAAAAACTCCTTTCTTCCTTCCCGCTACTTAAATCCCATACTCTTCCTACTACATAAATTTTTTTTTTTTAAAAAAGGGTAAATTAAACTAGGACATATGGGAACAAATTTCTTGGATTTCACATTATTTTGATACAAGACATACCCAATTGTATATTGGCTTATCAACAACAATAAAAAAGTACTTACAAAAAAAAAAAAATTAAATAAACACAAAAAGAAGCAACCTCTCAGCCCAAAGAAAATACAATAAAAAGAAGCAACTCCCAATCCAAATCCTGAAGTTTCGTCTGATTTTGGATTATCAACATCAAAAGCCGATTGGAGAAGGAACATCCATTGCGTTTGATCTTGGTGACCAGATGGGACTTGGTGTACCTTTACCTCTGAAACATGGGTATCGTTGCCCCTAAATTCGTCTGCATAAAACCAAAGTACCACAAACATGAACGATAAACTAAACTATCAATTGTCATTTAAGGTATTTGTGAACTACACAACTCACTTGTTGTCCCGGAAATTGTTCTTGATGTTGCAGATGAGATGGATGAAGTTGAAAGTAAGACGAGAAAGAAATTTTTGCGAGAGTTTTGACGTCCATGAACTCAGAAGAGGTCGTTTGTGATGCTACCTTATACCTGATTCCGGTAGCGCAATTGCTCAGGTACGTATGCTAGTGACTTTGGCACACAGTATTTATATCTCAAGGGCAAATGATAAGAACACCTAAACAAGGTAACACTCATTATTACGAAATTTAAACATTATCAAGTATAATTCATAAATTTGATAATTTCACCACTCACAAACGAGCTTTTTATCAAATTTAATAAATTTTGATATATTCGGTAACGTAAATTTCTGGTTTTGAAATTTGATAAAAAAGTTGATATTTTACACCAAAGTATAATTTTTCTTCTATACACATTTTCATTTTAGTCTATATGAATGGAGATTTTCTTTTTCTTTTTCTCTCTTTACAAATCTAAATTTTTGTAGACAAAATTAAACCGGTACCACCAATTATATAGAAGAATCCATTAAAAAACACGTGTAATCAAAAAGTTTTTGAAGAAAAAATATTAACTAATGCTGTCGGAGAAAAAAGATAAAGAACATACGCGTGGCGGTAATGGGTAATGTAAAGTCACATTTTAATGATAGGTAGTTTGGGAAAACCATTACACGACAAGATAGGTGTAACACTAATAAACATTGTTCTTCTTTATAAAAATCATATAAGTTTGGCTAACGCTGCCGATTAAAAGTGGCCTCGAGTATTAATTTGTTGGAAAAATTATTCAAAATGTTTCACACATTTTATTAAATGAATTTTTTTGTTCTTTATTTTTAAAATATTAATTTTACGTCCCTTATAAATTTAAGTTAACTAAAAGAAGTTAAAAAAATTTAATTCCAACCTAAATTTTTGATCACTTTTTAGTCTGAAATCACCACGTGATTCACATGTAGCTATTTTTTATGTATAAAAAGACAATATCACACTTTTTCAGTAATAAATAAATATAGATTGGATTAGATCAAACATTTTTAGAAGAAAAAATGAATATCGTTCGAGTCAGGTCCTACTTTTTTAGGGATAAAAATAAATATAGATGGCATTATTTATTTAATTATAAATGGCACCTAACTTTTTTGCCCTAAAAGATAACATTCATGTATATCATGAAATGACTTCAACACACATGACTTGTTTATAGTAAGTCTACCCACTCCAAGCTTTGGAATGATTACACTTTACAGTAAGGATTAATTTTTTTTATATTGACAGTCTAGTGATTTTTTTACCCTAGTAGTTTTGGATGTATGTTATATGTTCATAATTTGAATTTTAAATTTAAATTCATGTTATGTGACATACTATAAACTGGCTAATGTAAATATATATATATATATATATATATTTATATATACACATTGACAATGTATAAAAAATTTATCCTTACAATAATCATAAAAATTCAACATGAGAAAAATAGAAATCTTTTTTGTATGATTACTTACTTAAATAAAGGGCAAAAAGATACATCACTAGTTGTGTGAAGCCGAGGTTTCTTATTCTTATTAAATGTTTTGCCTCAAAAAAATACGTCATTTCTTACTCCGTAGCAGTTCTAAGTACCAAAAATAGTATATCCATGTGTTTTGAAGTTAATCAACCAAATGATCGTGAAATGAATATAGGGATAATTTCAGAAACCTTCCCTGAGGTTTGCCTTAATATCACTTAGCTCCCCTCAAGTTTTTAAAATCTCACTTACCTCTCCTGTCAATTTGACAAGACTAAATATTCCTATTAAAGGTCACAAATTGACAACAATACCCTTCCTCTTAACAACTATTTAACCAAAAAGTCAAACCAAAATAAAATTTTAAAAGCAAAAAAGTAAATTAAAAAAATAAATTTCTAGCTAATAATGGTCCATATTTCTTTACATTGGAGTCATGGTGGAATAGCAAAAGACATGAATAAATTAAATCTAATCAAAATCAACTACTTAGGAGGATTTTAGAGAGTAATTACAACCTCGTAAAATTTTGTGCATAGTTACAATTAAGGAAGAAAAGATATATTTTGGAAAAATATGTTTTAATTATTGTGTAATTTTAGTTGTTTTAAAAACTAAAATAATGTTTTCATACGTATGAATTTTTCATGTGTAAATTTTGCTTTTGTTCAAATATAACTAAAATAAATAGTTTACATCAAGAAATTTACACCTTATAAAAATTTAACCTTATTTTAATTTTTATTGTTGTTATAAATTTCATAAGTAGGATAATATAAGGGTAGTATTGGAACAAAAATTTTATATTTCTTGTATTTCTTCCAAAGGGGTTAAACTATTACAAAAAATGTCAATCTAAGAGAGGTAAGTGAGATTTTAAAAATCTCAAGGTAGCTGAGTGATATTAGAAGAAACCTCGGGGGAGGTTTCTGAAATTATCCCATGAATATATTATGCAGCAACCACACAGCAAAGACCCTTCCTTCTCCTCAAATTTTGACTGGTTTTTCCTGCTCCAACTTTTAGGGTTGGGAATAATTAAGCACTGACACCAAAATTTTCAGTCATATCACATCATTCAATTATCTTGTATTTAGTTTTCTTTAATTGATTTATAATGTTTGCATCTCATAGGCAAATTGGCAGCACTTCATTAAGGTTAAGTAGATATTCATTTTTCCACCCTTTAGTGCAGGTGTACACTTTAATTCTTTATTATGGCTGCCACAAATAGATTAATAGATAAATAACATCTACATTGGCATTCTCCTTTTGAATAAGTATGCCAGTAATGATATAGATTAGTAGAAAGATAACAGCCAGATTTACAGCACGTACTCTCCCCCGGATTGGAGCTTTAGTACCCCTTCCTTTGTTGTTGGTAGTTGCAATACATACTTAGGATGCTTATCAATAGTTATGTTGACAAAATGTGATTATGTTATTAGGGTAAAAATTAGTTTTTATAAGATTAAAATTAAAAGTTCAAGAAAAGAAAAAATTTATACCAATTGCCTCTACTCTAACTTTATATATTGTATAAATAGCATCTAATAAATGAATTTAAAATTTAATGATGGGATTTAAATGGATAAAGCAAAACCGTTATCCAACCTTCTACCATGCTTTCCTCATACTTGTATATTTACCACTCCAATAGTACATTTGTTATTATTCATTGTTGTCCCTGACTTGGTAATACAGTTTTACCTTAGAAAGATTGCAAAAACCCAGAGTGAAAAATATAAACATTAGCTATAAAAAGAACACCGAAAGAAGATGAATGTATTATTATGCAGCTGCCACACAAGATTTGTAATGAACAACTAAATTGAACATTTTATCTTTCCTGCTCCTCCAATTTTGTTTGGTTTATTCGGCTCAAACTTTCTAGGGTGGGAATGATTATTATCAGCACTAAAACGAAGCTTTCCAATCATTTTGCATCACTCAATTATCTTGTATTTTGTCAATTGACTTATAGTGTTAGCATCCCATTGGCAAATTGGCCTTTTAGCACTTCATCAAGGTCAAGTAAATGTCCATTTTTCCACCCTTTAGTGCGCTTTTACACTTTAATTCTTCAATATGCCTGCCACAAATAGATTAGTACATAAAGAACATCATTGATGGCAGTCTTCTTTTCAATGTGTATGCCAGTAATGATATGGATTCATAGAAAGATGACAGCACGTACTCTCCCACAGATTGGAGCTTTCGTGGGTTAATTTTTCACATCTCCTAGTTTCCAACTAGCGCACCTTAGATGGTGGTTTTTCATCCGTCTCCTTATCATCATTTTCTCTCCATGCGTCTAAATCCTATTGGACATTTTTTCCAATCTTTGATCCCACATTTTCCACTTTAATTTACGGACAAAAAAATAAATTCTACAAGTCTATTTTTCTAATTTTTTTTCTTCTTTTGTACTAATTGATGATGCGGTCTGCACTTTCTTTTACCATCTGCTGTACCCAATTCTTCTACTTCGTATACCGTAAGGTTAGGGAAAGGAAAAGTGACGCGGGGTCGAAGCATAGAACTAGATGGGGTTCGATGAACACTTCTCGGAAGAAGGATCGAAGGGTTGATTCACGATTAAAACCCAAAATAACAAGATTCAATCATAATCTAAAATATAAAGCGCACTTCAAGGGACATGTTAACGCCAACAACTCAAAGAATTAATTTGATTTATTTGTTAAAAGCTGTTTACAGTATCCTAAATATTTCTCTTTATAGGCTACAAAGATCTAAACTAAAAACAAAACAAAAACACACAAAATGCCTAAAACACATAAAACTTCGGGTTTGGCCGCCACGAGGATCTGCGGATGGATTTAAGCTGGCTAGGCATGGATCCGCCTTGCAGATTCGTGTTGCTACTACTGTCTGCCTTGAATCCAGCTCTATAATTCATGGATGGATTAAAGGCCCATTAGACCTTTCTTCTACTATTTCTTCGAGTAAAACCATATTGGCGCAATAATTAATATTGATAATTAAAATAAATAAAAATGCAAGCAAAACTATGAGAATTCTAAATGATTCTCAAGTAGTTTTATTGGATATAAATGAGGACTCATGAATCCATGGTTCCTCCTTGAGTACCAAAAGTGTTAATTCGGTCTGTTATCATAAGGGTCTTGCAAATTATTTATGGCAAATCAATTTTAGTCTCTTAACTTTAAAATATGTGGCCGATATGTTCCTTTAATTGAAGATTAATTAGGAGTAGGCCTGTGAGATAGGCCAATAGTCTTGGTGTTTTAAATGAAGATTTGTAAACAATTAAAAAAAGCTCTTAAACTCATCTGAATTCTTCACCATCAGGATGACAGTTTTTTTTTTTTTTTGCACCATGAGATCACCTCAAATAAAGTTCAAGACATAAACTAAAGCATTTTGCCTTTCTTAGTTAAACAATCGTGAAAAAAAATACCAATTGAGCTCGGAAGAATCTTAAAACTTGGAGTAAATTCTTAAATTGTGATGAAAAAAAAGTTTTTTTGTAAGGGGGGTAATTTTTGAAGTTAGTTCCAGGATTATGATCTTCGCATTTGTGAAATGCGAGTTCAGATACTTCGCATTTCACAAATACGAGATCAGTCTCTCAGGAAAAAAAGGAAAAATAGCTCGCATTTGTCGAATGCGAGGTACGCAATCTGAACACAAAGCCCTTGAGGTCGACCACAATATGTGACCGTGAGGTCGCGTATTCAGTGGTCACGTATTACAACCCGCAACTGCAAAGCTAAAAACACGACCATGGGGTCGCGTATTGATCCCTTGGCCATAACAAAACGAATCTGGGGTCAATTTCTTCATTCTTCTTCTTCTTCTTCCTTGCGTTTTCTCTCTTCCAAACTCACTCAATTCACAAATCTTCATTTTTGCTCCATAATCTTACTAAAAACCATCAACCCAACAGCTTTTGTGCATCATACAGCCTTTCTAACTGAGAAATTATCAAATCTTTTAATCTATAAGAAATATAACTTTTTTGTTATTTATATACAAAGAATTACTAGTAGATAAAATTTTGTATTGAGAGCTCACATTTGCTAACTTCTAACTCGGGTGAGTTTTAAAATAAAAAGGATTTATTCCTCTATGATAAATGTCAATGCAAAAACAAAAATGATTGTGTGCTCCTAATTAAAAAAAAAAGCAAATTTTGAATATAATTTTCTAGGAATTCACATTTATTGGATGCGAGATATAGTAAAGCCGAAAGCCTACTAGTTCGCTTAAGATTTATTGCCCCAAATTATTATCAAGTATTGATGGCAATATTATGGGATTTTTTTTTCCAGTTCTGATGAATTTAGAGCCTTAAGTAGTAAAATTTGTAGAAATTTTCATTGCAAATTGTAAATCATTTTATAATTTGCAGTGAAATCATAAAGCAAGGGAAAATGGTCACTTACCTCGCATTCCTTAAATGCGAGGTCATATCTGTTTTTTTTTTCTTTTTTTTGGATTTCGGTGGTCGGAAAATTCAAGGAGACTTCGCATTCAGCAAATGCGAGTTCCTTGAGTTTGCATTTGCTGAATGCGAAGACCTCTTGGACGGAATCCCAAACACAAAATGCCTCCTTTGTAGAATTTTTTTAAAATTCATCATAATTTTAGAAATTTCTCTAAAACTTGCAATAACAATATGAAACTTTCAAAAAAATTATATTGCAAGCTTTATGGAAATTTCTAATGGTATAGCAAGTATTACAAGGAAAATTGCTTGTCTTTTAGGTTTAGTATTCAATTTTGAGATATACCAAGGTACAAAGAAAATCAATGTTATTCACATGTAAACTCCAAACAATGTTTCCCACTCAAACAAAATTCCCTTGATGGTTACCTACCAAAATGTTGCCCTCATGGTGCACCCACAGGTAACAAACTCGAAACAATGTGCATAGTTGGCCTAGATTTTGGATTCACATGTAAACATGCCTTTGCTAGTTTGACGGTTGATATCAGAATCTTTTCAATTTCTTGTGTGGGATGCGAAAGTCTCTGGTCCAACAAGTCTTTTAGTTCTATATCTCCAGGTGTTGAAGACAACAGATGGACAACTAATTTACCAGGGTGCTTCCCTTTGATTATTTCCAATGTCAGGACCCCAAAGCTATAAACATCACACTTTTCAGTGACACTCATTGTATAAGCAAGCTCTGCACGGAAAATCATATCATCAGGAAAACCTCCACACTTAATACCTATAAAAGAGAGAAATTATAACCCCTATTAATTACCTGGCGCGACATATCCTAATGTGCCAGCAAGAGTAGTCCAGTTAGATGAATCCTTCCTGAGAAATTTAGCAGTGCCAAAGTCTGAAACACGAGCCTCATATTCTGAATCAAGCAACACATTGTTGCTTGAAATGTCCCGATGAACTATTGAAGGCGTGCAATCATGATGCATGTAAGATAGGGCATGAGCCACGCCTTTGATGATGTTCACCCTCTTTTCCCAGTCTAGTTCCTTAGCTTCTTCTTCCATGCTGAAAATTTTGGCCAAGCTACCTCGCTCAAGGTACTCATAGGCCAAAAAGGAGTTTGTGGAATTTGAGCAGAAACCGCAGAGTTTAACAATGTTTCTGTGCTTGATGTTTGTCAAGGCTCTTATCTCATTTAAGAAACTGTTGAAGTACACCTTCTCCGGCAGCAGATGAAGTCTCTTTACAGCTACCAAGTTACCAGGTGGGAGCATTGCCTTGTAAACACTTCCATAACCTCCTTCCCCAATGCAGAATATTTCGCTGAAATCTTCTGTTGCTTTTAATATTTCTCTGTACATTGCTTTGCCATCAAATGTTGATATGGAAAACAAATCAGCATCCACTACATTCTCTGTGGTTTTTCTTTCCCTTTGTCGACATATTTTAAGGGCTCCAAAGAATGCACAAAGAAGAATTAGCGATCCTAGAAGTGGGAGCACAATTACGAGAACAAGATTCAACCCCTTATCCTTTACACGCTTCATACTCAATTGAGGACTTCTACATGCTTGTAAACCAGTAATATTACCGCACAAACCTTTGTTTCCCCTCAATTCTTCTATGGTGATATTTTTAAAGGCTCTGCCATAAGGAATTGGACCTTCTAAATTATTGAAAGATATGTCAATATGCAAATAACCAGGCAGTTCAGCCAAAGCATTTGGAAGGAAACCAGAGAGATTGTTATGGGAAATATCCAATATCTCTAGGCTCTGAAAACTTCTGAACTCAGGTGGTATTTCTCCTGTGATGTGATTATGACTCAGATCCAAGACAGAAAGTCGAGTTAACTTACCCATCTGAGGTGGAATCTGTTGACTTAAGTTGTTGTTGCTCAAATTCAGGTAAAACAATTGTTGGTAACCTCCTAAAGTTTCTGGATAGATCCACGCAAGAAATTTCGTGACAGGTCAAGGTAAAGCAGATTTTTGAGCAAACTGACTTCTTCCGGTATATTGCCAAAAAGTTGGTTATTTTGTAGATTTAGATTGATCATGGAAGCCAGCATCATAACTTGGTTTGGAATTTCCCCTGTAAAGTCATTGGAAGAAAGATCGAGTGCATGAAGTTGAGATGCATTCCCAGTTCTGAAGGGATCTGCCTGTGATGTGATTGTCGGCAAGCAAAACAGCTGCCAAGTTTGGGCATCTACCCCAGTTGCCAGAAAGTCCACCATAGAATTCATTGTTGCTAAGATCCATGAAATTCAAGTTGGGGTAGATACCAAACATCTCTGACAGATTCCCAGTCAGCCTGTTTCCCTGAAATCGAGCTCTAAATAAACTTGAGCAATTTTTCAAGCTTATAGGGATTGGTCCTATCAGCTTGTTGTTGCTTACCGTGAAGTTCTGAAGTGTTCCATTTTGGCAAAGATGTTCCGGCAGATGACCAGAGAATTGATTTGTATCCATCTCCATCACAGCCAACTTTGCCAACTTCCCAAGCTCCTCTGGAATGGAACCAGAAAGCTGGTTTTCACGGAGAAACAGAAATTCCAGGTTGCTCAGATCACCAAATGATTTAGGAATAGAACCGTTCAGTTCATTCCTGTCTAGTTCCAAATCTGTAAGTAGCTCTAGGTTGCCCAACTCTTCAGGAATTGAGCCTGAGAGTTGGTTATCATAGAGATGGAGGACAGTCAAATTCGTCAGATTACCCAGTGATGTTGGGATTGTGCCAATGAGATTATTTCCAAACAAGCTCAAACTTTGAAGTGATTTCAACTGCCCTAACTCAACTGGAATGGGACCAGACAGATCATTTTGGAAAAGGAACAAGGTCTCCAACTTATTGAGGTTACCTAGAACAGGTGGAATTGAACCTGTTAGAAGGTTAGAGCTCAAAAAAGCAGTGACAAGATTGGATAGGTTTCCTATTTCTGGAGGAATGGAACCTGATAATAGGTTTTCATACAAAGACAAGTATGTCAAGTTTCTCAGATTTGCCAAGGAAGATGAAATGGTGCCACTGATGTTATTGGTATTCAAAACAAGCTCGTAAGACAGACTAAATGGCTTAATTCCACAGGAATTGGACCAGACAATTGATTTTCGTTCAGATGGAGGACTTGAAGATTTCGTAACAAGCCAATTTCAGGTGGGATTTCTTGTGACAGCTGATTGAACGAGAAATCGAGATAAATGAGCTTGGAAAGATTACCAATCTGTGGCGGTATGCTGCCAAAAAGTTCATTCATGGACAGATCAACGTATTCAAGGTTTGGCAAGGATGAAAATGGAAAGTCAGAGAGTGTCGTGCTGACATTGGAATTTGTGAGGTTCAATCTGTTGACACTTCCATCAATATTGCATGAAACACCAGCCCAAGTGCAAGGGCTGGAAGAATTCTTGGCTTGGGTTGGCGATATATTCCATGAAATGAAAAGAGAACTATTCTTGTTGGCAAAATTGGCTTTCCATTTAAAGAGTGAAGCAGCCTCTTCAGCAAAATCTGATGCACAAACTTTGGAAGGAAGTGTTGGCCAGAGTGTATGTGGTACTAAAATAAACATGAAAAAAACCTCTCTTATGAAATTTGGAAGCATGATTGCTTTTGCTCTATCTCAGCTGAAGATGGACAATTTTTAATTTGTTTACTTGTATGAACTACAAAATGAGACGTTGATGGATCCTCCCTTTAAATACAAGACGTCAGCGGTCTTCATTATCTTTTTGTTTTTTGGCCATTCTTCTTTCCTTATGAACGTACACGTTGAAACTTAATACTTTGCCGTCAATTGGACTCTTATCTTCTCTTGACCTCATAGATACTTTGCCAATTGTAATGCTGATAAAAGCAGTCCATTTCTCCTTCCCGTATTGAAACCAAGGCAAAATCAAAAGAGTTCAATTCAAGCCTACGTACACTTTGTTTTCCTTTCTCACCTTTTGCAATTTCTTTTCTAAAAATTTTTATTAAAATTTAGAATTCAATTATCGAATAAAGACTTTGCAAAGTCTATCAGCTTCGCATTTACATTACAAACCGATCACAGAGAATTGATAGTCAACGTTCACTGCCTCTAAATGAATTTATGTGAAATGTTTTTAAATACTAGCTTAAATTGATTTCTGTCTATAAGAAAAAATACAAATAATTGTACAAATCGATTTCAGGTGGGATTTGCACAAATCGTGTCATAAAGTACCGATTTTGTATAAAGAAAATGTTTAAGTTAACATTTTGAATTGAATTAAACCGATGCTACTTGATTTAAAAGACAACCAGTGACAACTATTGGTTTCATTTCTTGCACATGCTATTCCAAAATGAATTATAAGTTAACAAAACTCGTGTTCTCCGGGAATTATTCGATTACCAACTTGTTAATTCATGACTATAACAAAAAATACATTGTAGTTTCAATTAAGATTATTCAATTAGTGAGTAACATATTAATTTTGTTCAACCAGAATATTAATTCAATTGTTGTGATTAATTAGTAAAATCATCTAATGAGAATTAGTAATAGTGATTTCAACTGCCGTACTCAACTGAAATGAGACGATAAATGTTGTTTTGGAAGAGGAACAAATTCTCCAGTTTATTCAGGTTATGTAAGGTAGGTGGACTGGAGATGGTAAATGGTTAGACCTATAAAAAAAATGTTTAGAGGTAAAAAAAAATGCAATGATAAGTTCCGAGACTAGCTGGCTTATTGGCTTTGGAATTGAATCAGTCAAGTGATTTTCGTTCAAGTGGGGACTTGAAGATTTCAAAACAAGCCAATTCAGGCTCGATATTCGTGGCAACAGATTGAACGTGGTAATATGCTGCCAAAAAGTTCATTCATGGATGGATCAACGTATTCAATATTTAGGAATGATGAAAATGAGAAGTCATAGAGTGTAGTGTTGATATTAGAATTTTTGAGGTTCAATCTATTGACACTTGACACATCTATCATTATTGCATGAAACACCAGCACTTGGTTTTTGGTTAGCCACATGTTCCATGAAATAAAGAGGGAATTATTCTGGTTGGCAAAACTGAGTCTCCATTTTAATAGGACAGCAGCCACATTTTTTTTTTCGTAAGTGGGAGTTCTTCAAAATAGAATTTTCTACTTATAATCTCTTCTATCTTACCGTCCAACCCAACCTTCCCTCACGCTTTATTACTTGAATGAACTAAGAAATGATATATTGAATTTTACTTACAATGACTGATAGAAGTGGATGCAATAAAGATGAGTAACATAGAAGTGGATGCAATAAGGATGATATGCAAGCACATCACTGTGCGTGAGTTTTTCCTTTCTGGCTTATAGAATATGCATTGTGTTATTGGAAAATCTTTTTGGTTAGGAAGTAGAACCATAGTGGAATTGACTGTGGTGGTCGTTACTCTAGTAGTAAAACAAAGAGCTTTCTATTGCTCTTTTGTTTTTCTTTGTCTTACAGCCTGTGATACTAGTAATAAAGGTGGACTTGGCGACAATGGAGTGCTTTTATTTTTATCTTTATTTGTTTTGATGACGAAAGATTTCAAATTAGGATCTCTTTCTTACAATTCTTCACTCTTCCCCATCCATCTTAGCCTTCCCCCATAATAGTGCAACTCTGCTCCTTAAAAAACTGTTGTGGTCATAGTTTTGGTGGAGAGAAAGAAGCGAAAGAGTTTTTCTTTCTTTTTTGTTTAAACTTTTAGTATAAAGTTCCATAATGGTATATTGGATATTCATCTAATATCTTTTGTTGACACAAGCAAACTGGATTTATTAGTGACCAAATACATGGAAATAAGGGGTGAAGGTGTAATTTTTTGAAATTAGAAATCATTTGTCCCCCGAATTGGAATGAAGGTGAAATCAATAGAGTTTAAATCAGGCCTGCAATTTGTCTTCCTTTCTCACCATTGTGTTTCTTTTCTTTCATGAAGTTTCAGAATTCAAGTGTTGAGTATAAAGAATTTGTGAAGTCAATCAAAAGTAGAATTCAAGAATTGCAAGCTCTGTGCTTTCAGACATTTTGCTCTCTCTATGTTTGGCATTTACTTTAAAAGCTATTCCGATTTTGAGTTGAAAACCCCACTTCTTTTGTTTTTCTTGGTAAAACAAGAAATATTAATTGAATTAAACATCATCCAGTACAAAACGCGGAATGGATGCTTCTAAGAAATCTGCTTCAAGTAAGGAAGCTGCATCTGATGGCATTCCATTCAATAACAAAAAGTCTTCTGTTGGTCCTTCCTTTTCTTGCTAGCCAATCAGCACAGAAGGACGTGCAATCAGCATGTTGAATAAGCTCAATTGCAATTTTTACATTTTGGAAAAACCACTTCAGCCGGATCAAATTCCACTTCTCTTTTCCCTTGAGTCAATTGACTACTCTACTTGACGTCCATATTTTACTTAATAGACAAATATATTTGTTACAGGAACTCTGGTCATCCAAAATCATATTAGAAAAATAAAAAAGAAAAAAAGAAAAAGAAAAACAATGAACTTTAGATAGCATAGTCAAGGGCGAACGGCGAGTAAAACATGGTGGCTACTGGATATTGGCCAGTCCTAGTCTGAATCAAATACAGGGCTTGCGTATGCAGGCCAAGGTTTTTAAACTTTTAAAGTAGATCCCCAGTCGATTGTTTTGGAAACAACGAGAACGGATCATAGGTAAAATTCTCAAATCCTAAAGTCCTGCCAAAAGTGCAAAAGTACAATATTTTATTTGTTTATAACCTTATAATTCATGGATACATGTACAAATAAATGTAAAAAAAATAAAACGCAATGTTAGCCAAAAATTATATTTCTTCAACTGAAATTCATACTTTGTAGCATTATGTTGATAACAATAAAGTTGAAGTCATGTCAGAATTAATTCTACTTTTGACTGAAAACTTATTAAAAAAAATACTATTGATATAAATTCATGAATTGAAGACTCCAAACTCCCAATTATCAAAACATTTTCTTAGACCTGTTAGATAACTCTATTCAGTACTTAAATTTAATGATTTCATATTTTATCATATTCAGACGTATTTGACAACAAAAAAAATAGAACATCTTAATTAGTTAAGTGATACTAATTTCCGAGGCAAAACTTGATAAACCTATAAATATACTCAAATGTTAGGATTTTAATACTTAATAATTTAATAATAATTAATTTCAAATTTTAGATTTCAGTTTTATCAAATGCACCCTTAATCTGCATAATATGGAGTTACACTACAAAATTATCTAGTTATAATTCCATATATACTATTGATCCTATTGGAATCGGAATCAAATTTATAAATCGGCACCTGGATTCGTAACATCCTTAAGAAGAGGATTGAGAGTTTTAACAACTACTGGTATAAGTGCCTAACGCGTCCTCTGTTAGTTTCCTCTGAGCAAAATAACTTTTTCTTTGTCCCTATTCTCTCAGTTTGTACTTGTAAAATTTACTTCTTTGTATAATGTTCTCCTACTTTGAAAATGGTATCCATGATTTACCAGCTCAAAGAGCAAACCTGAAGTAATTTGTTAATTCTAAGAACCAAATTCATTTCGTTTACATATTAGCAAGATACTTCTAAACAAAAACCATCAAACCTGTATTGATGGCAAAAATGTTCTTAGTCCCTGTATAAATGTTTTGTTAATTCTGCATCTCCAATATTTGAAACAAAGATAATAACAAAAATGGCAACCATACTGAGTTAGGTGAAGTGCGGTCCCTCTGCCAGTAGTGTGCAATCCACTATCACTAGTAAAGTAGAGCACACTATATAGTGCTTGATGATGAAAAACAAAGATTATATCCACAGGGGAAATGAAATCAGTTTCAAGAAAGCTTCTTTCCAGTCTCTTCTTTTTACTCCTAGCCCTCCTGTTTTTCATCATTGCTGTTTCCAGTGTCAATGATGCACGCTCAACATGTAATGACTCAATAGCAGAGTGTAGTCAAGACTTTGAAACCCTGATGGATTCGGAGATAAGCAGAAGGTTTCTTGCAGAAAAGAGGTATATCTCTAATGGGGCTTTGAGGAGGGATGAGCCAGCCTGCAATGGTGGTGGTAGGGGTGAACCATATTCTTCAAGTGAAGGATGTCTCCCTCCTCAATCTAACCGTTATAATCGAGGTTGTTCTGCATATTATAAGTGCCGCCAAAATGCCTAGAGTACAGTAGACACATGATTCTGGAGATAAAAGATTATCATATTCTGCTTTTGCTATGTACAAATGGGGCTTTGTGCAACTCTTTGTACAAAATATTGATCGCCAAGAACTCCTAAAACATTCCATGTATTTTTTCCCAGAAACAGGAGCAAATCAAAGTTTCCTATTGTTTCTCCAAGTACCACCTACATCTTAGCTGGTCATATATGCAGTCACTTTTAACATCTTACTCGAGACATAGTCTAATCAAATCTACATGAGAATAGTTATTCTCGCCATCCTAAAGTTTAAATGTAGAGGAGGAAGAACAAGATTTCGGAGGGTAACGCAATTGGATAGAGGAAGTACTCTTTGCTTGCTGTTCCATACCTGTTTTCTTCTCAACTATTTTATGGCTTTCATTTCTCTTCCATAGATTTTGCTCATTTTTCTCTTTCCAGGGAGTAAGATTGAAATTCGACATCTTTTTCCCAAAAATTTGCTTTGCTTCCTAATAATGATCATAAAGGTTGCTACATGAATAGCCTAGAAGGTCAAACAAATCTTCTCTGCTTTGCAGGAAGTACAAAATCCAGTACTCATGGAGAAAGAACAGAGACAAAGTGCAAAACATCAAAAGCTACATAAGTAGACCGGCAAGATCAAAATGAAATGCATTTGAGCCTCAATTAGAATTCTCTCAAATAGAAATGTGAATTTTGACGTAAAAGATGCCCACAAAGAGCACTTCACAGATGAAGAGTAAAGGTTCTGATGATAAAAGACATCTTGCAATCATTTGAGCAGACACTTTAGCTTTAATATCAAACTTTCTAGTTGCTGTAAACAATTAGACAACAAAATCATTAGCTTCCTTCACGTATAACCAGTAATTCACCTAAAATGAAATTTCCACACTTCTCGAAGATTAGAGGACCCGTCTGCAATCTCAGCAACCATTGTCGATGCCAAAACACCTAGGACAAGGAGTTCAAGGTTAATAAGGAAACCTAAAAGCTCACTTTCTGAATGTACTGGTGCAATAGCCTTAAGATCCTTGGCACATTAAGCACAATACAAACATTATGTTTCCCTTCTTTGGTGATGCCACTCTCTCTTTAAACAATTCTTTTGGATCCAACAAGGATCTTTCTTCTTCCTCCCTGACCCCCTTTCTCGGTTTTCAGATATTTTACATTTTAGAAATTATCAATCTGAAAAAATAATAATTGCGCAAAGGCCAGCTATCTCATGAGAGTGAAAGTGGTACATGGCATACAAGATACCGTCTAGATCCATTTGTATAATCCATGCAAAAAGGTACTTAGTTTTTACATAAAGAAAACTGCAAAAGAAGAAACACGAGATAAGGCACTGATGAATGTATAAATTGCTATCCCCCCTCCCTGCACCAAGATGTTCATACTAGGAACAGGGAAAGAAATTCCCTTGCATAGACATCAACCTAAACAATCCAACTTAGTGCTTGAATCATGTCTGGGCTCAGGCAACATCATCTTAACTTAATGCAAAGATTTCTAAATCAGGGATCTATAAAAATTGACATATCAATAGCCATATAGAAGATAACACCTGGACCTAAAACAAAAATTGGGGAACATCAGGATGCTTTGTTCGCCATCTAGGAAATCAAATAACTAAACCTTTATAGAGTTCAGCAGAAGGTAACAAAAGAAAGTGTAGCTCACCATCTTTCTCAACAATAGAGAGAAACCTCCTTGATCCTCCTCCAACTCCAAAATAATGCTTCTTTGCTGCCATGTACACAACTCCATGAGGACTAGTTAGGCACTGACAAGACAAAAAGAAAAAGGAGGTCAACAACAGTAAATCTAGAGATCTGAATTCAAGTATCTAAAGAATACACTTAAGAACCTTCTTAAGAAGTTGATAGAGCGTAGGAAGAGCGTAGATTGCATAAACTGTCTCTGCCATGAGAATAACATCATAACCACCTCCATTACCCACTTCTTGATCAGAGTTGATTCCACAGTCATCACCACGTACATAAGGAAGAATATTTTGGACTTCACTCCAGTCACCCGCAAAGAAACGAGTTTCTGTCTTAGTGTTACATTCTGTCATATCTGTACCTATGGACTTTGGCTTCTGTTGAATGTTAGCATTTACATTAGGAATGGTGAGACTTTGCAGGACCTCAGCATTAAAATCCTGGAAGTGAACAGAGCTAGATCCCTAAAACAGGACAACATTTAGATTCATTTAATATGCAGCACATAGAGCATTTTGGCAAAAACTATCTAGGAGTGATGAAATGTAGGTTTACCATAAGGCATGCAAAAATTCCAGGAAGCCCATGGCCACATCCAAGCTGAAAAGCTATTAGAGGAGAGTTAGCAGATAAACAAATAAATGGTTACCGCCAATCAAACCATGATATTTACATCCACTTACAATCATTTACAAATTGGTTTGACAAGCATAGGCACAAAAATTGTTCCAGTTTCTAGCGGAATTATGTTAAGAATTAACTTGAAGCAGAGCAAGGCCATGAGAACGACTTCTTTGAGACAATGTTTTTTTTAACCAATAAGAGAATTATATTTCTCTCCAAAAGTTAATATTTTAAATGAAAGCATAGATGCATCAACAGCACAAGAATATCTTCCTCAGTCCGGATCCCTTGCCAAGGAGAAGCCCAACAGTTTAAGAAATTGGTTTGAGCATTCACCGTGAAAGAAATTCGAAAAGCAGATATGTATTCTGAGCCTAAAATCAAATCAATCTGCAGGAAAAATTAAAATAAGTAAAATTGGGAAAAATCAAGAAAATACCAAGAGTTTAGAGGTTACTAGTTCCTATATGAGTGAATATTCTAAGAAGGATCACATCTAGAAAACCTCCTGCTCTGCTGGGTTCAAGAAAGTTTGATATTTTGACCAGTAGTTGCAACAAGATTACCATAAAGTGTTCTAGAGAAATTACAATAAATCGTCATGCAGAAAACTCAATGACTCACTCTAAAGACAGAAAATCAAACAAAATCGCTGTTAGTCTCAGTTGCTAGTTACACATACCAGTACCAAAAAATTACACCAATTTAACAGAGAAATGTAATAAAAGAAAATAGGGAGAGAGAAAGAAGAACAGATAAATGTAAAGCATTATTAAATATCAACCACAAGAATACATTGATACCACCCAAAGAGCATCTCTGTTTTACATTTAAGCACAAAAATCAGTAAAAAATTGGCAAACAGCAACAAGGTTTTTGAAAAGCCATAGATAAACATGGCAGCAGAAGATTGTACAATCACCTCAGCAATTGAAGCCCACCTCTAAAACTCGCTTTCCAGCAAGTGACAACTTCCCATCTTGCATCTCTGATTGAAGAGTTTTCACTAAATCCACCGAACCTTCCCATAATTTCAACCCTCCTACAGAATAAATTACACTAATCAGTAACAAGACTCTAGGAAGAAAAAAAGGAGCCAAGAAACAGAAAATTGCAAACCGTGTATGTGAGAGTCTGTTACAATGACAGGCTCTTGCTAGTGTGACAGTAAAACCAGAAAACCATAAAAACCCCTAAAAAAAAAAGAAAGAAAAAGATGCAGCAAACCTTCATATTTCCCTGGCACTAAATCCAAATTAGAAAAGGCGAAAACCTCCTTAGTGTTCACCCTTCCCTGCAAGTAATGCACGCAAAATTAAAGCCATTCACATTCCTACTGATAAGCAACAATCAACATATTTGAACCAATGCTTCATTTCGCTTATAGTACAACACACACAGACGCCAATCAGATACACACATGCACACTCAACACTCATCCAAAATTTCACACTTTTAGTACTATGTAAAGTTCCAAAAACGATAATATTACCTTAATCAGTGTAATCCCATCAATATCTACACTTTCCACCGTATACTTCACATTTGATGATACCTACTCCAAATGAAAACATCCCACAAAAATAAATTGATAAATAGACTATAGAGGTATAAGGACTCATATACAAGCTCTCAATAAGGAAGTAAACATCAGTTTCCTTAGACCAAAAAGAATCAAGAAATAAAAAGTACCTGAGAGGGGAGGATTTCAACGCAAGGAGGTAGAGCGGGAAAGGGTTTTTCCGGAGATTCAAGAAAATTTAAGCCAAACCCAGGTTGGGGATTGCCATCAAAAAGGCGAAACGTTTCCATTTTTGAAGAATTGGACGGCTGTTGCTCCATTGCAGAGGACACCCTGCAGCTGCAGTGAGTTTCAGTGGGAAAAAAGAAGACGCAAGACTTGAGAGGGAATAAATTTTGTTGGGCTGAACTATGAGCCAATTATGTTTACTTTTTCATCTGAAGTTGGGCTTTAGCCCAATAGTTAAGATATAATTCAACTGCATTACATTGCCTTTGGGTACTTAATTGTGTTAGCACTTTTAAGGATATCTGGTTAATTAGCAGAGGAGTTGGACACCCAATAGGATTTTGCCACAAAAATATTAATTAATTCCTACAACTTTTCTTCATATCCTTCCCCCACCCTCGCGCAAATATCCATCTTGCAAATTTTTTTTTTAATTTTCTAAAAGAGAGGAGATAGGATTTAAGAAATAAAGAAGGGAACAAAAAGATTTGAACCCGAATTCTCTAATTTCTTGGCCTCTAAGCACAATTTTACTAATACTCGTATGTACAATATATAATATTTCTTTTATAATAATAGATTGAAGCCGTGATGTGAATTGCTAAATGTCAACTCGTATCAAGAAATTGTGTTCAACACGGGAAAAGGGTAAATAATTTAACTGCTATGTAGATTATAATTTTTGCCCATGTCTAAATATGGATATCGCCCAAAATATGAAGGTCGCTTGAGTGTTATAACTTGTGAGTTTTGAGCGTTTAATGGTGATAGAAAAACAGAAGAGGAATTACATACATTGCCATCCATGGTGAACTAGTCATAATCATTCATGCTGTTGCGGTATTACTTTATTGGTACTCCACTTACTAGGATCAACTGGTTACGTATTAAACTTTATTTTTTATGGTGTAAATGGAAGGATTCCAGTGATCTCTTATTTACACTACCATCAAAACCACTCGATCTTTCCCTCCCTCAATTATGTATTAAACTCTTTCTTAAGTTTGCAAAAATTTCATTTGCGTCTACTTCATTTCCTATGGCTGGAAAGGGGGTAACAAAGTAGACCTTCTTTCGTCTAAGTAATTTTTTCTCCTCTTTCATTTTGTTAAAATCCTTTGTGGTTTAGAAATTCAGAATTCTCCCTCGTCACTTAAAAATATTTAGAGAAACCCTAGTGCTTTAAACTGTAGTGGAAAATAGACGAGATTTGTCTACATTTACAGAAAGATTTGAAAATACCGTAATATCCCTTCATAAATAGCAAAACTCTTTTCTATTTTTTAGTTGTAAAGGGTGAGATCGCCTTAAACCCCCCCCCCTTTGCCGGGGCGGGCGCCGCCGCCACCACCATAAGTGACAAGCTGGAAAAGCCTTAATGTGTATGTGCGTGTGTATATATTTATATGTATATGTAGGACTGTTCATCGAGACCTTTGAATTGGATTTTTACAAGTTCAAACTTGACTTATGAACTAAGAGAGCTTTTAGATTTTCGGACTTTCAAGCTCAAGTCCAATTATAAGGCTCAAACTCAGTTCACAATTCTAGATGAGTTTTGGGTTCAATTCGAGCTCATAATTAAATACATGTCTATACATAATATATATTTAATAATTATGAATTACTATAAATTTATATATAAGTTATTAATGTTCGATGCTATAATATATAATTATATTATATATTTTTATGTATATAATAATATTTATACACCAGTCGGGCATTAATTGAGCCTAAATCTAGCAAAGTCCAAACCCAACTCGTTTTTAATTTGGGCCTTATATTCAAGTCTAACCTCTATTTAACCCAATCAAACATTAGGCTTAGCAAACCCTTTTTTTGGCCTGACTCGAGCTGTCTTAACCACAGTGACATTATGCATATCAAGCCTCTAAATTGCCTCTTATCTTTTTCTTTTATTTATTTTAACCTAAACGTTAATTTAAATTTCTCTTCTCTCTCTGTGTTTTTTTCTTTTTAAATGAATAGAGTTTTCTCATTGTAATTAATAGTAACTCTCACTAGATATATGGTAATTTGAAGTACTTTTTTCTGTCCCATTGAAATTTTATGTTTCTTAGTTTTACATGTTGTAAAATTTTTTTATCTCCAAAGGTCAAAACGTATTCATCTACTTTTTCCCCCGCTCTTATTCATTGTCTCCATATCATGTGAATTTCAATTTTATAGGATAAAATTGGAAGAATGCTATGAGTATTGCTTTAGACACTTCTATTTTTATAAAAGGAGATTATATTCATGTTCCATATTTGATGCAAAGCCCTTCAATCCACTTGGTTCATATTTTTGTTAACACCGTTGCCATAATGAAAGAACCAAGCCTACATCGTTTTTCCCCTATAGGCCTTTGGCAACCACTCTCCAAACAAAAGCTCACCACCTTTTGTTTGATCCAAAACCCTCACCATCCAAGTTTCATTTGTTAGACTTGACTAAAGTTTTAGGATTGATTTTGGTGGAGGTGATAGTGAGTTCCACATACATTAATTCTAGACTTGACTAAATTTTTTGTATTGATTTTGGAGCAGTCGATATTGAGTTCCACGACTCCATAAAATTAGAAATTCACTATTCTATGAGTGAATATCTTTGTGGATTGAAAGGTTGTTAGGAGAAGGAAGATAGATTAAGAACAGTCGTATTTGTCCTCTCCATTGATAAGACACATGCTTGGAATGTACTATAAATGTCAAATATGGAGTGTGGACACGACAAAATTTTCTAAACTTAGACAAAGTAAAGAAGTACATATTTTATGAATGTAACTTTTGACAAGGAATATGGATTAAGAAGGGTTGTATTTGTGACATTGACTTCCACGGTCCACAATTGGAAATTTGCTATTTTGTGACTGATATTGAGTTCCATGGTCCACAAATCTCTTTGTGGATTGAAATGTTGTATAGGAGAAGGAAGATGGATTAAGAATGATCATATTTGTCCTCTCGATTGATAAGACATATGCTTGGAATACACGAAGTCAAATATGGAGTGTGGATACGAGAAAATTTCCAAAATTTAGACAAATTAAAGAATGTATTTTATGACTGCAACTTTCGAGAAGGAAGATGGATTAAGAAGGATCGTATTTGTGATATTGAGTTTCATGGGTCTACAGATTGAAAATTTGCTACTTAATTTGTGAGTGAATCTCTTTATGGATTGAAATGTTGTACAGGAAAAGGAAGATGGAATAAGAAGGGACATATTTATTCTTTCAATTGATAAGACACATGTTTAGAACGCACGAGGTCAATATATGAAGTGTGGACACGGGGAAATTTTCAAAACTTAGACAAATTAAAGAACGTATATTATGAATAAAAGTTTTGAAAAACATTGCATTCAGTGGATGTATTTTTCACCTTTTGAGAAGAAGTTCTAAAAAACCATCATCATTTGGGAATATTTTATAAACTCTGAGAAATTACTAGTGTGGACACCATACCACTAAGAGGGGTAAGAGGGAGGGAGGGTTAGAAAGAAGGACAGGGAGTGCAAATCCACCTTCACGTTATCAAAAAATTACAATACCAGAGCTTCCAAACAAAAGAACACCAGTTCTTGCCCAACAAGCAGTGGCCGTCTAATTGAATAAACTGGCACAATTTTGGTGTACACTAATAGATTTTTGGTATAATCGTGAGTTTCGCACCAATTCAATTATAAATTATGTTTATATCAAAATTTTATTAGGTTACACAATTGGAGAGAATTGGAGCTAGAAAGGCTCCATATCCTTCACGTCCCATATTAGATGTCAGCATGACCCAATTCAAGCCACTCAATTTAATTGAAGTTTCAAGTTGACCCCTCTAATAGGACCATGTCAGCTCAGCCCATTTGGACTGCTAACCTAAGACGGCAATTGTCAATGTAATTGTTGAGAAACTCGGTCCGGTCGTAAACGACTATAAAAGTATGATTCATTCCATGCAACTATCACTAGTCAAACACGAGTTAGGTATAGTCTGTAAGAATGGATCATTTCCTCGTTAAAAAGTCATATATTCGGATTCAATTGTCGATGCGAGAACTATGTTAATGGATAATCTGTAAAATTTTTATACCAATCCATGGTCCCAAGAGCATGTGCTGACCTGTGGTGATAATCGAAATTGTACCCACCCAATTTTTTTTTAATGAAAAAAAATAAAGAAATGATAATAGAATAGAGCCAATATTAAGTTCTTATAACCCTCTCCATAAAAAACAATGGCTACCAAAAGCAAGGCTCTCATCGCTATATTTTTCTTTCTCTTCTTGATCTCAACTCAAACAATCGCTCCTTCAACAGTTAGAAAGATCCTTGGAACAAGTCCGTCCCATTTCATAGTTCTAAAAGTCCATCTTTCATTTTTATGGATTATTGATATTCATGATTGAAAAAAAAAAAAGAAAAAGAAAAAAGATTACTGGCATATATGTACTCATCACCTAAGAGTCTTTATCTTTGTGATGGCATATTATTTCATGTCTACAACTTCCACCCATGAGAATGGAGTAGATATGGTTGTGTTTGTGTTCGGTAGTGAATATTTATCGTCTTTTTTACATGATTTGATCCATAATTATATTACTTTATTATATATGTGGATTTTGCTCATGTATATAAAATATTATAAGAAATGCAACCATACGTGCATATATATACCAAATTTTATAAGAATCACAGGAATCGAAAACAATTGAACAAAGTCAAAACCCTAGCTGCCCTGATCTCCAACCCATATGGATGGGGCAGGTTTTGTAACCAAAGTTTAAATGAGTCTAGTCGCATGTGCATATTTTCCATGTAGAAACTTTAGATGTATAAGTTCTTAGATAAGTTCTTGGAATCGGAAAGTTTTTCCTTTCACATTTAATGAATTGGGCAATAGATAAGGTTCCCATGGTTGACATTCAGTTCATTAAATTCATGGATCAAAGGATAAAGTGTATTAGAGTTGACAAAATTATTCAAAATTTTTAATTTGCTCACTGAAGCTTTTTTATTATTATTATTTTATTTTTGACACCATTTTCACAAAAAAAAGAAAGAAAGAAAAGAAAAGAAAATGAGAAGAAGAAGAAGTGCGCTATTATTATTAATTTGCCACAGTTAATCTCTTTGAGGT